CTTTTGACCTTTGACCACCAAAATCTAATCAGTCCATCCTTGCATCCAAGTAGATGTTTGTGCCAAAGTTCTGTCTGGCTGACTGTTGCCGGCGCAGAGGCATAAAAATGGCTTACAACTCGGTATCAAAAAACAATAACATGAGGGTTAGGTTGGTATTTATGGGATTGCCAGAAGAGGTGTGGTTGAAATACGGTCCTGATCCCGAAACGTTTCAATCGAGACTAATTAGAAATCCACAGAAGGCTAATAATGATACACTGATCACAAGTGAATGAACATAAGGGGTAAAACAGACCCTCTCAAAGAACAGATATTGTGTTATATAGAATAAGCGGTGTGATGGGGCATGTACCTTCAGACACAGAAAGAAAACATCAGAAATTTCTTTTAGTAGCAATTTTATTGCTGGATCAGTAAAAAGGTTTGGAAAAGACACATCAAAACACCTCACATTAAATTGAATTCCTGCAAACAAGCCAGGAATGTACTGAGGTTTGAAATGACGAACATCAGCATGACAGAGGGCGACACAAACTGTATCTGACAAAAAGACAACACATCTGTAACGTTTTAGGTTAACTGGACCCAAATGCAAACCAACATGGTCTTTCAGTAGATTTATTAAATAATGCCAACACAAAAGACTCACTGAACAGGTAAAACAGAAATACAAAGAGCCAAACAAAGTCCTTGAACAAAAGTCTAAACACAGGAAAATCCAGAAGGGTAACATGTGGAGTAACTTAACAAAAAGCATGAGGGAACACTGGGGAAACTGGCATACAAGGAAACTCAAGGCAAAACTCTAGTGAGGTCTATGGGACGTGGTTAGGCATCAGGTGAATCGCTGACTGCAAGTTGCAAGTTGAGTGATCTCAAGCCCTGTGGCAGGAGAAACACCGTGGGTCTGTACCTGGGATTGTAATAACTCATATTCTCTATGAGCTAGAGCTGATTTCGTGGAAGCTATACGGACACTTGTGCGTTGAGCCTGAGTTGCTTCTAGCAGGAGCTCAGGCCCCAGGAGCTGGGGTTGAAGTCCTCCATCTTATATCATTTGACAAGTGAGGATGCAGCAGAACAATAGGGTATTAACAGGTAAGCCAGGACGGGCATCAGTGCCACTCCTTGACAGTTCACACTCACTCCAGATCTTCCTCTTCTGAAAGTTTTTCACAGTCATGCTCAGGTGTGGCTCGCTCAGGTACAGTTGGTTGAGGAGTGCTCCCTCCTGTCACTTGGGTAACTAGTTCCAGTATCAGGTCCTCCAGCCGCTTTTTGTAGCCACTGTTGTACTTGAATGTTCTTCCTACAGCACACCTTGCAGCAATGTTTGCGTTGTGGCATTCGACAGCCAAGAAGAAGAGGAGCCTCCTCCGTCAGTGGCCCAGTCCATTAGAAATCTGAACATGGTGACGGTGCTGACGGCTTATCAGGCCGGACTTTTCCAGGGGTTGAGTGACCTTTTGGATAAAGGCTCTGCAAGTCCAGCTGTTTAGGACGAAATATGTGTCGTCAAGGACCTCATCCTCCGTGTGTCTAGAAGTGCAGTTCAGTCCTGTGGCCACGTCATGGGTCTGGCTGTGGTGGGAGCGAGACCCAAACATTGTTCAGGACGCAGACTAAATCTTCAGTGATACAGATGCTGCATCTTAAGGTTGTTGATGCCACAGTCACCACAGCAGTCGAGACACATGGATGACGATGTAGCGGCTGTAGCCCGAAGGTGTTAACTTCCTTAACGAGGGCACCTGGGTGCAGGAGGTGCAGCACCTGTTGATGTGGGAACGATGAACCGTTGATAACTGTCCTCAACTCAGTGGCGTGTGGTGACTTTTACAGACAGGCGAGCAGAACCGAGCAGCCAACAGCACCCACTCAACTGCCATCAACTCAGAGGTTCAGCTGTGGACTACACTAACCACAAAAATATGGACAAGACTAAAACACACCTTTCTCTTAAATTCAGTCCTGTGCTGTCTCATGATTTTGTGCTGCCTTTCTCCCTCCTCTCTGAAGAAGTTGTAGAATTAACACAGTGACAATGTAGAGTCCTGTATTTTCCACCCTGTGTTGTTCACCTTTCCTGGTTTATCGTCTGGACTGTAGTTGAAGCACAGGGGTGACGTGGGAACTTGGGTGTTGAGGAGTCTGAGCATTTATTAACTGATCATGAGCCTAAAGTGCACAAACATCACACTGCACGTTCACAGCTACACTGCTAACTGTTAACTGACTAGCTAACTCTCTGCTCTGGGTTCCAGCATCACTATTCTGTACAGAGGAGATAAGTCAGTGTAATTTGCTCCTTTACTTGGCACTGCTTTCTCTAAATGGTTAATGTGCAAGTTTAGTTTCCGCACACGTCTGCGCATGCGCATGATGCTGCAATATCATAACTGATCTCAAAACGGTAGAAGCTGAGTCGAGCTTGCTAAGCACCCTTTGGCTATCGCTGGCCACCAGTCGAAGATCCCAGGATTATCCTCAATTTGAGAAAGTGTGTGTCCCGTTCCACTTGACAAGTTCCAACCTTTGTCAATGGGACATAGTGACACCCATGAAAATGACAGAAACGATAGATAGATACAACAGCTGGAAGTCAAGCTACCTTTCAGAGACAATACCCTGCCACCACAAGAGGGCAGTAAATTACATGATGAATGGGAAATAGGCATCAGATCCTTTATGGGACCAACCGCTGTTCCGAGATCAGATGTAAGGACAGATATCGCTTCACTTCAGTATCGTTCGATTCAATGTCTAATTTTAGCTTTAGCTGGGCAAACACTGCAAACCCTGAAGCCACACCACTGCCTCAACCACTGCTGAGGGGGGACGTCCCAGGCTGTACACTGACGGAGGAGAGAGATGGAGGTCCCACAGTAGTGGCCTGTGTTTCCGTGGGTGATGGACAGATGTCCGCGGTGGAGAGGAGGCTGCAGGACTCCAGAAACTGACTCCATCTGCAAAAATCAGAGAAGGGACCACAAGCCAGAATGACTCTGTCAAACTGCCACGACTATTTCAAATGTCCTGAAAGAACTGTGACACTTTTTGTTTTTTATGTGTGTGTCCCATGTGCATGAAACAACAGAACTTCTACCATTAAAGCAAATGTAGGAGTTACAGGTTTGTCATTTGAATGTGCAGCCAGTTCCTTTGTTTGGATTTCATCTGAAGTGTGTGTGTGTGTGTGTGTTTGTGTGTCTGTGTGTGTGTGCATGCATGCGTGCGTGTGTGTGTGTGCGTGCGTGCCTTTGTGTGTGTGTACAGAGCAGTATCTCACAGATGACACGAACACAGTGTGTGTTCCTCTCTTGACTCAGTGTAGATGATGGTCACTGTGTTTTACTGCTCATAGACTTGAAGCCTCTGTCACCCTCTCTGATGGATTGCCATGGTTACACTCATAAACCTGGCACTGCTACACAGCATGAACCAGTCCTGCCAAGTTCCTCATAAAATATCAGCAGGGCACATGAAGACACAGTAATCCACTTCAGACCAGGTTCAGTCATGTGACTCAGAATGTGTTTGTTTCCCTCATTACTCTCACATTGTTTATTTCACACTGAAACCAGTCAGAGATCAGCCTGTGGTTCTCATGCATGTAAAGTCAGGATGAAGTAAAAACTCATTGTCCAGCAGGGGGCAGATTCTGTTCACTTCACCACAAACTATCAACCTGCTGGTTCGGGACCTGTCCTTCACACAGTTACATGTTAATGGGTAAATATATAATAGAATTAATTCTGACACGTAATGATTGAAAACTAAACACTCAGAACAGACTGATTTTAAGTCAGTTTAATTATTATATTAGTTTTTTTTATTATAAGTTTGTTGAAGCAGCAGCTCTGTGCTGAGGATTGATTCATTTATCAGTTTCAGTTCAGGCTAATGGTTATACATGAATGTAGTCACATTAATTCTTCTTCAGCTTAAAACCTTCTGAGATCCTGATCCTGATGAGTCTGAAGTCTGGGAGACACCAGGTCTTCGCTCAGTGCTGACTCCTCAAGTCCACTTCAACCTCTGAGTGTGTTTATCCTCCAGTTCACTGACTCACACACTCACACACTTCTACCTGAGCTAATTAGATTATTATTATTATTATTATTATTATTATTATCATTATGAAATATATTTTACCTGGTGGATGAGGATGACATGTCACATGACATACATTAAAACAATCCCGTGTTAATGGTCATTGTACGTTGTGCAGCTGACTCTGCTGGATCTTAAAATGAAAAGTTAATGGGCCTTTGATGTATGCAATCAATATTCAATATCAGTATTGATCCTTATAAGAACCAGATGAGGTAAAATAATAAATAAAATAAAACCTTGGAGATGATTCTCTTCTGATTGTGATTATGAATAAAGAGAAACCATCTGTATAGACTTGACAGTCCTCCAGTCCATCAGTCCCACTGCACTAATTTATAATACAATATAATTACTATATGGAAAACCTATGATTATAATAAACAAATCTGTATTCATTTTATTTCAACATGAACATCATCATCAGTTTCTAACTGTCATCACAAAGAGTTCACCATGAAGAGGCTGCAGGTCCGACACGGTCTCTGTCTCAGGCGGAGGTCTCTGTCAGACCCTCATGCTCCTCATGGAGACCTGCAGTCAGTTACCAGCCTGTCAGAGACTCTGAGGGGACACAGTCAGGAACTTGGCTCAGATTTCTAAGTTTTAAAAATAAATAATCAGCTCTGATTCGTTCCACGTGCCCGCTCCTGTCCAGTGCGCGCGCACGCCAAGAAGCAGAATGAAGCATTAGCACATGAGACTCCACAGGATCATATAGCAGCGATGCTGGTGTGTGATGCTGCCGTGTGTATGGGTTGGCTGAGTGACGCGCCAGCAGGAGCCGGACTCTGCGCTGCAATAAAGAGGCGGCGGCAGCTGAGAGCGCGAACCACTGGAGCGGAGAGGCGTCCCGACAACACAGCTGCTCCACACACCGCCGACCCGCTCACATCAGATCACACCAGGGTTACCGGAGGAGGAGAGACGCTGCAGCGGAGGATGCCGCTCCGGCCTCTCATGAACTCATCCACCCGCTGAACGAGGCTGCTCCGCGGGCTTCAGCCTGAACCTCCGGCAGGACTCCCGAGCTCAGGACTTTTTGAACAGACTGGTGAGTCCTCAGTCTGCTTTATTAACCATGGAGGGAAACAGGAGTTTTGTAGGTGGTTCTTTAGATTTCATTAACTTTTAAATCTAAAATTACACAAATCAGCATTTGATTCAGCAACTAATGATGTAGATTAAAAATCGTTATTTAAAGGACTTTGGGGTTTTAGATGCAGAGGATCGTGCAACAGGTGTTTAACGTTCACTTCTTTAAAATGATGCATTTAAATTATCTTCAGTATTATCAACCATTTTCTACACGTGCGGAATTTTATTTAGTGATTAAAAAATAAATGGTAAATAAAGAGACAACAGTGATGTTTGTTCTTAAACACTGAACCTTCTCAAAAACCTCTTTCCTTCTCTACACAAACAAACTCCAAACACAGTTCTGAGAGTTTTCAGCTCACAAACATCCTTTAAATTCTGATGTTAACCCGCTGTGATCAGGTCTGGGGTCTCAGGTCAGTGAGCATTAAACAAAGGTTTAAATGCTGCTCAGTGAACTGCAGCCTGAGTAGAACTAGAAGGAGGAGATCCTCTTTGCTCTGGAGCTCTGACACCTTCATCCTCTGACAGTCTTCCTCCACGTTTCACTCATTAATGAAGTCCTGGATCAAAACAAAGTCCATATGCATCACACAAGAGGTGTCAGGCCTTTTCCTCATCACCTCAGCTCCTTGGAGATCAGGTCCTGGTGGAGGTGTCCCACACGGAGCACGGGGCGCTCCACAGGGTGGAGGGAGCCAGGGCGGCCGTGTATGGACATGGGGAAGTGTGAAAGAAGAAAGTCAGTTAAATGTTAGTCAGTAGGTTTCAGTGTAAAGAAGATCCAGATCTGTCACTCAAATGAAACTCCACCGAGCGGCAGGTAGACGTCCTGCACTCACTGTGCTTTGGTAAATGACAGAAGTATTATGAGTTTAATATTAGTTAAATATTCCCCTTAAGCATGATAACTCTTACATAGTTTTATGTGTTAAAGGCGTTTTGTTTAGTGCTAATATTAACTGCTTTATATAACATTTACATTTACATTTACATTTATTTGACAGACGCTTTTACCCAAAGAGACTTCAAGTGCTTATACTAAATAAAAATCTGTCATGTTTGTAGGTGAATAAATTACATAAATAACTGCTTCCCCTTCACTGCTCTCAAAACAACTGCAGATAATTAATGTTCCAAACTGCTGTCAAACAGAATTTATAACCAGGGTTCAAACAGGCAGAGAAAGAAATAGTATGAATAATCTGTATCTTTAAAAAGGAGACAGCATATTTATAGTTACTAGTCTGTAGATTATTATTATTTTTGGTTCTCCAACATGGTTTCTCACAAAACCACGGCTGCTCATTATAGTTCTGACTTTTCTCTAATTCTTTTTTTTTGAAAGAATGAAAACGTTTGTATTTTTCTGGTGTAAAAACTTCAGATCAAACTTTCAGAAACTCACTCTGTTGATCAGACGAGGCCAGAACATGAAGTCAGGAGCCTGTGAACGGCTGGTTTCAGCTCTGACTTTATGAATCAGTTATAACCAGTTTTACTACATGATCGGATATTTTATTAGATCACAGAGTTAAAAAAAAAAACTTTTAGTATTTTTCACTGAAGCCTTTGGATAAAATTTAAATATATTGAGACACAGTTTACTGAACACTGTCAGTGTAGGTGAGGTCACTAAAGGTTAAAATTTAATCACAATTTTAAAAAAAATGTAGGACATGACGTGTGTCCTCCATGTGTCTCCGTAGTTCGGACCCGGGAAGAACAGTTCAACTCAATTAATAATATGAGGCTCTGTGTGTGTGTGTGTGTGTGTGTGTGTGTACTACACTCAGACTGATCACGTTTACATGGAGGTGAGAGTCTCTGTGCCTGAGCTGAGGGCCACATGTCTGTGAGGGTCTGGGGCCCCTGGTATGCAGACATCAAAGGGTTAAAGGTGAGGAGAGGCTCAGCAGCTCACCACTTATCTCCTCTAATGACCTCCTAAGTAAAAGTCAATTACTTCTGCGTCATGATCAGAGGAGGCAGACCACAGGGGGCTGCTGGAGCTGTTAGAGCTGCTCATTCCAGAGACTCTGCAGAGTTTACTGAGCCGCTCTGCGGCTGCACACCACACGTTGCACTTCTCTTATTTACTGTTTATTCCAACGTCTGCGGCAGGAATAAAAATGTGTGTGTGTGTGTGTGTGTGTGTGTATCTGAGTCTGACACCAGGTTATTCAGCAGCTCCGTCCTCTGCTGCGCAGCCGCTGACGACATGACTCACTCATTTGGTGTCTTACAGTTTCAGATGAAGTTACAGTCACATTAATTCTTCTTCAAACCACTCAGGTTTTCTTAGACCCTGATCCCGATGAGTCTGGGAGAACCAGGTTTTCCCTCAGTGCTGACTCCTCAAGTCCACTTCTGTTTTATTTCTCAGTCTGTATCGACACGAGAACGGATTCTTTTTTTCCTGAATAGTCCAAATTAAGAAATCGTTGGCTGCATCATTTCATCACTTTCGACACATGCTTCAGAAATGTGAAAACTCTGGGGCCTGAACACAAGCAGGGACGAGGGTCTGAACCACATGAACCACGTGACTCTGTACTGATGGGTTACAGAGTCTGAAGAAGTGTTTCCATGTCCAGAGAAACTCTGCAGCCTGACACAGGCTCCGTAACAAGCCATGATCATGAATGACAGATAACTGTGACCAGTCAAAGAACAGAAGGAAACATCTGGATTTTTCCAGGTGATGGTTACAGATGCGTTTCACTAAACTGCGCCGTAAATACTGGAGGAAGAAGTAACGACGACCTGGAAACTAGAAACAACGACACGAGGAAGAAAAAGACTTTTTAAAACATAGACTGTTAAAAAAAAAACACTTAATTAGAATAGATACTGAATTAAAAAAGAAAGACTTAATTAACAGGAAAAGCTCTGAATTAAAGAGCATAAATTTAAACCAGAAAATATGCTTCACCAGGTAAAAGTACTAATGTTGACGGATGGACTCTTTAAATTAAATTACTGATACATTCATGTGAACCTCTAGTCTTACACTGTTTATCATATTTTCTTCTTCTTCTTTTTTATAACTCAAGTAATACACTGGATTATTTTACTGATGGATTAATAAGCAGCAGTTAAAATGATTTTAACTCTATAAAGTGCTGTGTGGTCAGCGGGTCATATTCTGGTGAATTATATATTTACTACATTAAACTATCATGTCAGGTAAATGTAATAACTGTCCTCCAGCATCTGGACGAGAAACTCAGTTTAAAACACAAATACTTCAGCAGAGTGATCAGTGCAGTGTGTGTGTGTCAGTGTGTGTGTGTGTGTGTGGCAGTTGTGGGCCAGGGCAGTGTGAGATGATGAGGGGCGGGGCCTGTGGCTCCTGTCCATCATCATCTTCCTCAGACAAAGATACTTTATTGTCTATTGTTGTTCTGTCTAATCAAACCTGATTTAACAGCTCACAGGTATTTCTGTCTCTGCCTCAACAGCCCCGGGCATGTACAGGAAACACAACGCCACTGTGCATGTGTGTGTGTGTGTGTGTGTGTGTGTGTGTGTGTGTTTGTGTGTGTTTCATGCTGCCAACGGTTATGTTTCTGCTGACTCACTCACCACACACACACACACACACACACACACACATTTGTCTTAGTAGACTGGTGAGGACCGTCATCAGTGAAGGTTCTCCATCTCCACTGTGACTAGAACCCTGTTCTAAAAGACTGGAACCAACTTTAAAAGAACCGCGTTAGAGGTTCTTCTTTTAATTAGACTAAAAAAGACAAAACTGCACCACTACTTTTACTTTTTAAAAGGTGATTTTCACCTATTTTTGACTATCGAGAAATTACAGCTCACATCACATTAAACAAATGAGTCTGTAGAGCCATGACCATGATCCGAGCTCCCTGACGTCACCGCCTGCAAATATTTAACAAAGTGAAATTAAAAACGTGTGCAGGAAGCTCCTGTAAGTCTTACAGCTTCGTATCATGTGAATCAACATCACACTTCAGCTTCAACAGCAGCGTCACACTCGATGTGTATTGGCGAAAGTGTGTGTGTTGTTGTGTGAGGTGTGAGGAGGTCGTGTGTAGGTGGGGGTGGGGAGGGGTGGTATCTACATATCAAACGTGTTTATGGGTTTCAGTACTTTACCTTTATAAATCAATCAGTCAGGAGTCGAACATTTAACTACCTGAATCCACCATGAACCACCTGAGAACCTGAGACCTCCAGCAGGTACAAAGCCTGCCCTCTTATAGAACCAGAACCCCCCTCCTGTCTGCAGAACCCCCCTCCTGTCTGCAGAACCCCCCTCCTGTCTGCAGCAGGTTCTGCTGGGAGGATCAGTTATGAATCAATGATGAATAATGAAGTCATGATGTGTTTCAGAGAGAATGTGGTGCAGTTTCTTTTAGTGTCTTAGTGTGTGATGAAACCTCTCAGATCATACTTCAAGCACTTCACCTGTTAGAAACATAAAATGTGATGATTGTACAACATCATAATCAGCTGGTGTGTCTGTCTCCTCCAGACCTGCTGGCCTTTGTGTAGCAGCCATGGGCAGCAAGACTCTGCCAGCACCGGTCCCCCTGCACCCCTCCCTCCAGCTGGCCAACTACTCCCTCCTGCAGAGCTCCACCGGCCTCCAGCTGCCAGCTGATCACTTTCACAGCGTCTACAGCTTCAGCGCCCTGCACGCCATCCACCTCCACCAGTGGACCCTGGGCTACCCGCCGCTGGCTCTGCCCCGCTGCACCATCTCCAAGCTGCCGGCCCAGTTCTCCTCCATGGCCTCCATCCCCATATTCCCTCACCTGCTGCAGCCCAAGCAGGGCTCCTCAGAGCTGCTGCAGAACTCCAAGAACAAGCCCCGCTTTGACTTTGCCAACCTGGCAGCAGCGGCCACCCAGGACGATTACCTGAAGGCAGAGGACCTGAGCATGTCAGGCGCTGCCGCAGCGCAGGCCTCGTCTCACCACTCCGCCTCAGCCGGCCTGGGATGCCTCCTGGATGTGACCAAACTCTCCTCGCCGGAGCGGAAGTCCAGCCGAGGCCGGCTTCCCTCCAAGACCAAGAAAGAGTTTGTCTGCAAGTTCTGTGGCCGCCATTTTACCAAGTCCTACAACCTTCTGATCCACGAGAGGACGCACACGGACGAGAGGCCGTACACCTGCGACATCTGCCACAAGGCCTTCAGAAGACAGGACCACCTCCGGGACCACAGGTGAGGACCAGGCTTTACCAAACCCTCGCTGACAGACTGTGATGGGTTAGATGTGACTGATGTCTGTCTGTCAGTTACTGCTCTCTCTCTCCCGCTGAGAGCTTCCTCACTGAGCCTCAACACACGATATTAATCATGTCGACCTTACTGATGATGTGGTCAGACTTTTCACTGTGGCCATGTCTGCACGGGAGGGCTGGTGTGTTTAGTGTGAGGAGCTCCTCCCTCTGCGGGGGCTCAGGATGTGTTCAGGTTCAGTTCTGACTGTAGGTCACCTGCATTCTGCAGTCGGTGTAGTGACGTGTAGAAAACTGAAGAAAATACACCTGAAGTACCCTGTGTTGACAGTTTGATTAAAAGTGAAGCACAGCTGTTGTCAGATGAGACAGACAGTGAGACACACTGAAACTCCTCCACTGGTCTTCACCGGCTGTGAGGGTCAGTGGAGGAAGGTTTAGTTGGTAAATGCTGAGATTACAATGATTCCACCAAAGTAAATAGAAATGAATTTAATCATGCAGACACAGACAGACGTGTCAGTGATGTCGTTGTCGGACTGTGACAGAGAGGAGCATGTTTATTATTATTTATATTTTTGTATTTTACATGGACCAGTTTTTAAAGTGTGAGGGAGTCTGTAGTCTGTCATTCACTGATAGTTTATAATGAACATAATGTCTGCTTTTATACTGTTGGAAATATTATATATACACTAACATATAAATGATATAATACAAAAATGCCAAGGACGTTTATTATGTGACATTTGAGGTCACAGATCTTTACAGTGACTAACATCAGACTGTACAGATGTTACAGATGTTAGCTGGACATAACTCTGTGTGTGTGTGTGTGTGTGTGTGTGTGTGTGTGTGACTCAAAACTCTCCAGTTCTTCTTTTATCTCCTCCCAGTCTCTCTCTCACTTTTCCTGTTTATCAAACAGATTCAGACATTTTCCACTCTCACCTCAGCTCCTGTCTCTCTCAGCTGATTTGTGCCTCTGCGTCTTTCCTTTTCCAACATCAGTAACTAGAGTATCAAACTATTTGACTGCGACAGCTTCCTGAAGTCTTGTCACCACATTGAGCCTGAACACAGACACAGACTGAAGCCTGGTGTCTGCTCAGAGGAGTCAGTGACACTGGGACATGGTCTAGATGAGGTCTGGACCGAGTCTCGCACAGACAGAGTGGAGATCAGGCTTCTACAGAGCTCTAGTTTGTTCTAAAGCAACCACACATCAGCATCATCACAAAGACTCATACGAGCTGTTCCTGAAATAATGTGGAGGAGGGCTCATGAAGGGTCATGAAGGGTTTGTTGAGGTTCGTTGATGATGTTGAAATGTGACGTGGTTCCTCTGAATATGAACTAACGCCAGCTGTCGTGTTGTGTTCCTCCTGCAGGTACATCCACTCTAAAGAAAAGCCCTTCAAATGTCAGGAGTGTGGGAAGGGCTTCTGTCAGTCCAGGACTCTGGCGGTCCACAAAACATTACACATGCAGGTCAAGGAACTGAAGCCAGCCAAGATCAAGTGATTCAACAACCCCCCCCCCCCCCCCCAGCAGGGACAGGATGGGGACACTGGAAAACCAGGACCAAACACACCAACCAAAGACTTTTCATTTCAGCTGTTTCTACGTGAACTCAAGGATCAAACGTTTTACTTAAAGAAGAGAGATGAGATTCAGTCATCAGAGAACCTGGTGGACGTGTGGACTGTGAACGGACCTTAAAAACCTTGTGGCTGCTCAGAAGCTTCAAATCCAAAGACTTTATTAAAGGGACTTTATAAAAGATCAAAGCCATGTTAACATTTTCATCCTTTCACATTCCAATGATATTTTCATACAGATGCATTATATCAAAAATGTATTTTTGCACTTTAACCTGATTATTGATTATTTACATATATCACTGGATTTCTTAAAGTTAATTTCAAAATGAATAATCATTTCTAAATAAAATATTTTACTGTAACTTTCTGGCTGTGAAGTGTTGCTGTATGGGGGGGGGGGGGGTCATTGTCTGTGAACTTGCAGCAGTTTCCTGTCGGTTTGGTTTCTAGTGAAGACTAGTGCAAATCTCTGAGAGAAACACTGATATTCAGTCTGACATGGAGCTGCTGCTGAAACCTGCAGAGTACACCTGTAGCTGGGTCAGAAAGAGGTCGGATCACGTCCCCACCAGAAATACAAGGTTAATGACATGAAGTATGATATAAATGCATTGGGAGAGAGAGAGAGAGAGAGAGAGAGAGAGAGGGCTCAGTGCACCATGGGAGTTGCCCCAGCAGTCTGGGCCCATAGCAGCATGGCAAAGGGCTGGTTCAGGACTCACCTGAGCTGCCTCTTCCTCCTGAACCCAGACTGGGAGTTGGGTCCAGCACTGACAGGAGCAACAACCTGGGGATGAGACGTGACAGATCTGTTTTACCAGCTGCACAGTGTAGCAGCTCACTCTTGTGTGTTCTCCATAAGTGCATGTGATGACGTCGCTCCTTGCAGTTGTGTGTGTCCTCAGTCCGAACAGAGAGACAAATTCCACTGGCAGTGGAAAAGGGGTCAATTAGCTGCTGCAGCAGTTAGTCCAGTCTAGAGGTAACAAATGCATGGACTAGTTTTTCAGCAGGTGGAAGAAGGCTGTCCTAGAGACTTGTTTTATGTGTAGTAAAGGACATGTCCAGGTCAAAAATGACCCCAAGGTTTGTTACTGTAGCACTGGAGGCCAAAGTATATTATCAGATAGGGCCGAGTAGAATAACTTCAGTTTGAAAATTACAGGTCATCCAGGTCTTTATGTCTTTAAGACACACTGGAAGTTTGACCACCTGATTAGTCTCATCTGGCTTCATAGATAGTTACAGTTGGGTGTTATCTGCGTAACAGTGGACATTTATCTGGTGCTTCCTGATAATATTCCCTAAAGGAAGCAGATATGAGGTGAAAAGTATCTGTCCAAACACAGAGCCTTGTGGAACTGCATGATTAACACTCCATGTTTGTATAGAGGAGTCATTATTAATATGAACAAACTGGAATCCATGGTTTAAACCAGCCTAGTGCAGTTCCTTAAATGCCAAGTTCAAGACATGTTGTAGTCCCTGTAATAAGATCCTGTGATCGATGGTATCAAATGCAGCACTAAGATATAAAGACGAGTCCATTGTCTGAGGCCATGAGAAGATCATTAGTAATTGTTTCTAGAGCTGTTTCTGTGCTATGATGGACTCTAAATCCTGACTGAAAATCTTCAAGCAGACCATTCCTATCCAAATAATCACATAACTGGTTAGCAACCACTTTTTTTCAAGGATTTTAGAAATAGAGGGGAGGTTATATAAACCTGAAACCTGGTCAGTACAGACAACGAGTCTGGGTCTGACTGAGGCTCAAACATGTGGCTGAGTCTCTCTGATGTTTCCTCCTCTAACCATCTTGATGCTCTCTGCTCTTTCACCTGTCCACCTGGAGACAGCACAGTGGTGGGCGAGGCATAAGGCCTGATCCAGATTTATCAATCAGGAAGTAAGAAGAGCTTCGGACACAGTTTTTGATTTGAAAACCATGTTAAATACAATATTCATCATAGCAGAGGATTTTTACAGAGTTTAAACATGTCTGAGAGGAACTTTAAATAGAGCTTTAATTACTGGAACCTTAAAAGCCTCTGGTACATAACCTGTTGACCTGTTAATAAAGAGAAGTTGATCAGATCTAATATAGTGTTGATCTAAAAGAAGTGTGGATTGGGGTCTAGAAGACCAGTTGATGGTTTAGATTAAAAAAACAGTTAAAATTAGCTCAGAGAGATCTATAGTAGAGAAGCTGCCTGAATATAAACCAGTTAGTGTACATACAGTATGTTTCATATATATTTCATTGTCTTTACAAGCCTGGGGAAAATCTTCCAGATGCTGGAACCACTTCCTTTGTTTGTGAGTTGAACCACAGAGCCTCTTCTGATGGTTACAGACAGCTTCAGTTGCATTTTGAATCACAGTACCCTGCTGATTTTCTTCACTGACCACACTGATAAAAAAAATAACAAGAATAACAGTTTGTAAGAATCAAGAGCCTCAGTTCTAATTTAACCCGATGACACAGGTGCTCTGACAGATTTAAGAAAAGTGAAAAAGGTATGTGTCATCTTCTCTTACTAGTCATAGACATATAAATGAAAGTGGAAATGGAAATGTGGGTGTGTGTGTGTGGGGGGTATGTGTGTTGGCATTTTTAGTGCGTCATGCAGGAGGAAGGCTCCTGGTCCAAGGGAAGAAGGAGAGCTGAGCGGATGGTCGGCCTGTTGCTCACCGTTTCTCTTGTAGTCAGGAACTCATCAGTCTGTCATCAACTCGCTGAGAAGCCAGGGACACACACACACACGCACGCACACACACACACACACACACACACACACACACACACACACACACACACACACACACACATACAGCTGGGCAGCTTGAGATGGCAGGCGATGGTGTACGTGACAGGAGTCTTGTTTGTGGCAGGAGGAACACTTTCTTCACCTCGGCCTCCTGTCCTCAGGCTGCTGCAGGATCAGACCTGAACTACACAGCGGAGACACAGAGTCTGCTACCACTCACTGGGGGGGGGGGGTCCAAGGCTGCTGGTCATGTTCTAATGGTCATGGGAGGGTATGATAGAATATTTTTGTGTTTCTTCGAGTACCACACATGCACAAGATTGTATTACTGTGAACCACAGACTGAGGCTGTTTCCACTTCCTTTATAATCAGGTTTATGCGAGAGGAGACCCTCTCATCTCCCACCCCTCACCCCATCTGCTGCCCAGTGCTGTGATGTGGGGGGAATTGATTAAAGGTACGTCCGCTCCACTACGTTTATATTTTAAAATGCATCTCTTTTGCTACTTCTTCGCCTCCCGTCCGCACTACTCCGGCGTTTCTGAGCACTGAAAGCAGAGACTTTTGGAAACGCTGCTCGCTCCTTTTTAGTTTGAAAACGGGGGGGACGGGGAGACCTTTGGGAAACAAGTTTGGATTTTTCCTCAGTAAGAACGTAACAAACTGATCTGAATTAGAACAAATCAGATCAAAGTACTTTGTCGTTTGAGTGTATCTGAGTGTGTAAATGACAACAAGAGACCACCTGTCTCTTTGGGGCAGATAGATGATGGGTGCTTCAGTTATCATTGAATTGAAATTTGTCAAAATTCGCCGCATCACCACGGGCAGGCCGTTCAACAAAAACCCAAAAGCTTTGCAATTTATAGTTGCAAAGGTCTTAACATTAGACTGACCAAATACAACTGATGCAGTCGTTCTTTATCATATGACATCCTTAAATTGCACCTTAAATCTCAGATTAAATTCAAAATGGCTGACTTCCTGTTGGGTTTAGGGTATGGGTGCACAAGGCTTTTTTTGCAAGTCTTGGCATGTTACATATGCTTACTGAATTCCATACATGTAGGTGAAACCCCTGGGGATACAAGTGCCACTTAGAAATTTTCCGGGGGGGCGCTATCGAGCCATTTTGCCACACCAATGTGCAAGAGCCATAAAACATGTACCTGCCTCTTTGTGTGTGTGTGTGTGTGTGTGTGTGTGTGAACACTAGAGCCGGGAGGTTTGATCTGATCTATTCAGGGTCCAGAACTCTGACTGTGTGGAGGGTTTCAGTTGCACACGTTATTAACATTATAGACAAAATGCTCAAAAGGAAGTCAAACAAAATGTATCATGAACCTGCGGAGCTGATGAATAATGACACGAAGAAGTGTGTGTGCGAATGATGTCAGCGGTGAGCTGGACTACATAAAGTGTCTGTCACACATGAGCGAGGTGGGTTTTTAACTCTGTTTGAGGGTGTAATGTCTTCATTGTTGTAGTTATGTGAAATATAAAAGCTCAGCAGGAGAGTCAGTGTCATGTTGGACTGTGTCCTGCAGATCACAGCTGTTTCTTACCACAGTAAAAACACCAGTAGAGAAGATGAGTCCATTCGTTTTCAGTTAGTGATGTTACAACTGCGGTCATATTGTGTTTCATCTTTTGTTGTATGTTTTTTTTTTCCCCCTGTGGCATGAAAGACTTGACGTGTGCACGAGTGAGTGTATGTAAACAGGTGTGTGCCGGGACAAGCCGGTGATTGGTACGTATCGCTGGCGGTTGCAGCTGATTGGCTCCTGTCGGATGTCCACCAGACATTAGGAACCAAGATGCCGCAGCCGAGCAGCGACAGGAGAGAACCACGTCTTCCACACTATGGTCCGCGTCCACGCACCCATGTGCCTTGTTGTAGTTTGAGGGTTAGTANATGCCGCAGCCGAGCAGCGACAGGAGAGAACCACGCACCCATGTGCCTTGTTGTAGTTTGAGGGTTAGTAGGGTTGGACTGTCTTTTTCTTTTAATCACTTTTTCTCCTGTTTTGTTAGTTAGGAAGGTTAGCTGAGGTCTTCTGGTTTAGTTACATTTGAGCAGGTTATGTTGATGTTCTGTTTCTAGATAGATTAGTTTTGTTTGTTATTTTGGCCTCAACCCTGAAGCTG